TCAGAAAAAAATTGGAATTAGTACTTATGGTATGTCCAGGCTTGATATTTTCTAGAGAGTTTCCTGAAATCAAGGTGGGGAAAGCTTTGGTTTTGAAAATAAGCTTCTCGTGTTGTAGCACGATATTTTGTGGTTATTAAAAAAAAATGAAACAACAAAACCAAACCAACAGGGAGGACAAAAAAAAATAGGCCAAAATAGGAGTTCGTCCAAAGCTTCTATTTTAATAAAATAGTATGTCAGAAAGGAATATAAAGACGAATAGAGGAATATAAAGTTTATACAGAAGTAGGATCAAACTGAGATTTTTACATCCAAATTCTATTTTGATATTATCTATTTTCTCCCTGTTTGAACTGTATAGACCCAAACTGGGAAAGCTTCCCACAAACTGAAGATTCACAATTGACTCCCAACATTGCATGTTCCAGTCTCCCTTGCATTGATTTGAAAATCTGAATTTTTAATTCAGCTGATTAATTTTTTTCACCTTCTTTGGAAGTATCATATTTCCAGAAATGTATATGGTTCATTTCTGTGCTTATTTTTATTTATTTTTAATGGGTTCTCTCACTCTCATCAGTAGCATATGTATGATACAGGTTGCCATGGTAAACAATGAATTTTTTATTAACATTGTAAATATTAATTTAAAACATGAGTAGCTTGTAACTGAGATGTTAACACTGCTTTGGAGATTTTCCTGCTCCTGAGGTGACAGAAATTATATATGGAGTTAAAAACACAAAAAGCAATGTGTCTTGGGAAGGAGGTTCTTTAGTGATAGTACAGCAGCCTAAGGGCACAGAAATGTAGGATATTTGGACTGTGAAGCAAAGACAATAGAAGATCAGACATAAACTGCTGAATGTTATTACTAGAGATGACATGGAACCAAGGTTCAAGTTTTAAATTCCTTTCCTACATTTCTGGACCTTTTGCTGTCAGTTCTTAGCATCAGTGTGACCAAGTGGCTGAGCTTGAATCCAATAAAAAGAAGAAGAGAGTGTAAAGTGATGTGATCAGCTTCAAAGCAGGGATGAGCACAGGCTGGCCCCCTGCAGTTTCGTTTATGGTGTTACATCTAACTTGCTGCTCTAATCAAGTAGTTTTAGGCACATTTTTGAACACTCATAGTTACCCAAGTTTCACTGAGCTCAGTGGGAGCCATCTGCTAAGACGTTGCTGAAAATTCTCTTTTCTAGACATAGGATATCTCTTAGACTCATGTCCTTCATCCATTGTAAAGTGAGTCCAGTGCTTCTTTCTTTCTTGGAAGATAAGGATATAGAATTATTTTTGGATAGGAGGTGGTTTTGTCCAGTGGCTTTTTCTGCATAACCTGTGTTTCCTGATGAGCTTCTATTCATCCATTAAGTCCTTGGTGACAGAGTGTTAATTTTTCACTGTACATTTGCTTTTGGAGCCGAAAGTTACAAGGTGGTTGTTGTATTGCCTTGGGACTTTGACTCATATTTGATGCTGTCACTGAAGAGTGATTTTAGAAGAAGCAGCATGATAAGAGGTACTACCTTTCAGCTGATATGTTAAATTGAGGTCGCTTCTGTCAATGGCCCTCTTAAAAATCACCTCTGTGTCTTGTCAGACATTCCATTTCCCAGTGAAATTAATTCTAAAAATCAAGGACTGTGTCTGAGATATTACAAAGCCCATAATAGTGGCTCTGTTTGCCCCATCATCTTTGGCACTACTGGTATTTCACTTACTATTTTTGTCAGGACTTATATTAGAAAACTCAATTTTACTCCGTTCTGTATCACAAAGCAGCATATGTCACCCTAACTCCACTGAGCAGAGTAAGATTACTACATGAAATCTTATATCATCCTGTGATATATATGTACACACAAGATTACTCAGAAAATAACTTGTCACTATTGTAGACACTTCATGGTTGCTGGAAAAAACACTCCCTACTGAAGGTCACATGTGTATATATATATATAGATTTAACAGCTCTATTTACCCTTTGTGGAACAGTGCTGCTAGCAGAATGTCAAGAGACCAGTAAAGCTTCATCCTTCCAAGGAAAACTTTCTGATCCCCTCTGTTTAAAGGACTGAAGTTCATTATATTGGAAGGAATACAACTTATTCACTACATTGTTTTGTGAAAGTAAAAGCACTTTCAACTCCATTTCACCTTGGACTCTACTATGAGGACTCCAAATGTGTGACAAATGTTGCCATACAGAATACCTTATTGATTTCAGCATTAGATTTGACTTTGATATTGTTAATTAATTGATTTGAATCATGTTGGGGTTTTTTTAAGTACTGATAAACAGTTTAGGTAGTTAAGTGTTTCTTTTACCTGAGATGTTTAAAGCACAGTTCCTTTCAGATTCCTTGCAGACTGAAGTCTTAGAGGCCATTCACAAGGACGGGGCTTTGGAAAGCTGATTTTGGTGCATCTCTCTCCTCCATTCTTTGTTCACTGTCCTGTGTGCTTCTCTCCTTGATGCACTGCAGCAGTGATTTCAAGGGCAAGAAGGCTTCCCTTCTGCTGGTCTCAGGAAAGATTTTTCCATACTGTAACCTACTGAAATGTGACATTTATATTAGTGTCCTGTGCCTTTCAGGTGGCTCCCAAATGTCCAGTCTTTCTCTTGGTGTTCTCTTGGTGCTCTGACTGAATGTGTGTCTAAAGTTCGTCTTGCCTATGTTATGCTGGTTATCTTAAAACTTTTCACAAAACCACTAAGTTTCTTTTATTTCTGTGGAATGTATTGGATAAGAAGCAAAACCATTCAACATTCTTATTTTGTCCACAAAATTATGTTCTGAGTGATTTATTTGACTTCTAACAGACCCACACTCAGTTTTTCTTCTGGCCTTATGTTGATTTCATTAATGATTCCAGCAATATCTTACAACAGAAGAATGTTATATGCAACCCAGTAGTGTTGTATTCTTTGTAGTCCATAGAAGACACCTAAAAAAACTAAGCTCTAAAATCATTAGTTATAGATATAGGCAAAGGTTGAGGTTACTCACTGTCAAATTCCCCTCCCTGTCCTATTTCTTAAATAAAGAAATTATAAAGCAGCATAATGTTTATGAAGTCTAGTGACAATGCTTATTTTTATATATAAATTAGACAGTACTTGTTCAATTATGGAAATGCACTGGAAAAATTTCAGTAAGCAAAGTTTCTAACTTCTTTAATAAAAATGGAGGTCTCTTTCTGTATTATGTAACAACAACAATCCAGAAACATAATTGTGCTGTCAGTATCTCTGTGTGGAATTACTTCCTGATTGTTAAATGGCAGAAGAGTCTCTCAGCACTGTTACAGAAAGCAAGCTGTAACCTAAATTAATATTCTACCTCTTTCACATAAATTTTAGCAATTATATAAAATAAATAGACACCTTTTGATATTTATTCAAGTCCTGAATATTAAATTAAAATGCAGAACTTCCTAGTTATGTCAAATGCTGTCATGAAGAGTTCACTTGAAAGTAATTCAGCCATTACAGAGGAGTGTATGGCTTAGTCAGCTCATTTTTCTTTCACTTAACTTGAGTTCTAATGTGAAATTGCTTAAAAAGCTTTGTTTTTTTAAAAAAAATGTTTTGTGGGCTTTCTTTCTGCACAGAAATTTTAGTTGTCATATTTAATTCAGAAATCTCTCCTTAATGAAATTTGTATTTATATAAGTTGGCAACCTTATAGGCAAAATGTTGTGTTTATTCTCAGGTCAGATACAGCATAGACAAGAATGTAGTGCTGTGGCTAGCTGGGTGTGGTGATTTGGGTCACGCTGCAGTTTTGGGCACCTCAATATAAAAAGGCATTGAGCTATTAGGTAGTGAGCAAAAGAGGGCCATGAGGATGGTGAAGGGCCTTGGGGGGAAGCTGTGAGGAGTGGCTGTGGACACTTGGTCTGTTCAGCCTGGAGGAGACCGAGAGGAGACCTCACTGCTGTAACTGCTTCCCTCAGGACGGGAAGCAGAGGTGAAGGTAGCAATCTCTTCACTTTGGTGACTGGTGACAGGACTTGAGGAAATGTCATGAAGCTGAGTTGGGGGAGGTTTAGGTTGGATATCAGGAAAATGTTCTTCCCCCAGAGAGTGGCTGGACACTGGAACAGGATCCCCAGGGAAGGGGTCACAACACCAGCCTGACAGAGCTCAAGAAGCATTTGGACAATGCTCTCAGGCACAGGGTGTGACTCTTGGGGATGTCCTGTGTAGGGCCAGGAGCTGGACTCAATGATCCCTGTCAGTCTCTTCCAACTCAGCATATTCTATGATTCTATTAATTAAAGTCATCCCTACAGCCCTTGGTAATGGCAGCACCGTGTCAATGCTCTGCATTGTGCAGGTGCTCTCAAAGCATCTCCTGCAAAAGCCAGCCGAGACATCCAGCTTTGCATTGAAGGAAAGGAAGAATATTTGCTTATTTCTTCTACTTGCAAAGGTCTGGGGGCAGCAGCCTGTGGCAAGGCATAGGAACAAGACTGTAAATAATTGATAACTGAGACATTCTTCCTGCAGCCATGAATGTGAACCATTACCTGAAGTTCCATTTCACTCGTTCAGTGATACTTCAGTTTTTATTTTGAAGCAGAAGAACAACTTCCAGCATTACAGATACGCTCATTTAGTTCTGCAACTTTGCAGAGTGGCTTGTGATACAGGTTGCCTACACCAGTGTAATGGGAATGAAAAGCACTTTTACTGTGAGTTAATAACACTGAACACTTCTGCCTTATTTTAAATAGCTGAAAATTATGCAGAGCTATGATCTGTAGGGTTTTGGGATCTTTCCACAGAAGGGAAAGGGACTTGTGCTAGCTGTATGATAACTAACATGTGAAATTTGTAATGGTGTATGGTATATACACAGTCTGCTTTTCTACAGCAGACATAATTTTGTTTTAAAGGCAGTATTTGCAAGTAATACAATTGAAATATTAGCTTCTGCATAAGAATTGCTCTACCCACTTTTTTTTTGTTTTTTTTTTAATTTTAGTGTAAAGTTTTCTACCAAAACCTGCAATTTTGGTTTGAGCTAAAGGTGCACATTTGGACTCCTGTTTGAATCTGTGCTGAGCCTGTGCAGATGCTGATGAAGTGGGCAGACCTGCTACCCAGAAGGTGGGTAAAGGGACAGACACATTCTTCAACTGGAGGTTGGCATGGCTCATGCAGAGCATCGGATTGCTAAGTATGCAGTGTGGTGCAAAATCAGCCACTGTAGCCCCAGCTACAACAGGCATGGTTTAAGGTAAGCTTTGACTTTGTCCTGAGGAAATGAGGACTCACATATTCTCACTTCTTGGCTCTAATGCAAAAGGAGTAGTTCCAGCCAGGCAATGGCAACATGCAGCTCTAGGGAAATGACACTGCCTAAGGCAATGTTAGGGCAGTAACTGCTCCAGACAGCTGCTAAAAATCTAGTTTTCATTTGTTAGTTTTGTACCATAAAAATATACATATAAACTCTCATAAACTCAAAGAAGCAGATGTAAACTACACAGGTGTTAATCAGATTAGATGTAGCACAAGAATGCTATAATAGTCATGCATAATACTTCAAAATAGCCTTCATTAATCCCATTCAAGTCACAAAGAGATTTATGGGGATGAAAGGGTGGTACATAATAAAGATTAAGCCCCACTGTTTAAATCAACTTGGGCATTGGAAAGAATAAATGTCATGGAAAGTCAATAATATTTGGCTCCTGGGTGACCCATGTTATTTTAAATGTCATACTCTGTGCTAAATTGTGACTCATTTTGTACATGTTACTGACTTTTTTAATTATCTAGATTAGGCTAATGTGAATCAGCCTGTGAAAGGAACAGTCACTCCCTGGCCATCCATTTCTGATATTTTTATTCTTTACAATTGATACCCCTGCAAAGGGTCTAAGAGAAAAAGTAGTTCATAAACTGAAGGTTGACTGAAATGCCTAGTAAAGATCTTTAGCAAAGAAACCAAAGGTGTCAAATGCTGTGTGGATTCTGAGACAGAAGTGTTATGTAGAGAGGCAGACACACTCACAGCTCTTAAGTATAGTTTGGGTCTGAAAGAGGGTTTGGCATGTACTTGAAATTTTCCAGAAAATATTTTGCTGAAGTTGTGTTTATGTGAAAATAAACATGTTTAATTTATTGAAGTGAAAAGCACAGTGTTTTCCAGCTATTTCTGTCTCTTAACTGTCCTTAAGTGTCCTCCACATAATACAGATGGATTTGATTGTCAAATAGTTGTTAACTTTGAATTCCAGGTTATTTTCCAGAGGAAAGTTGCTTTATCTGGCTCTCTCAGAAGAAGTTCAGATTGCATATATGTCGGTCTCTACTCTTCCTTCATATTAGTCATGTACTCAGTGCAATCAATGGCTTAGTCTAACACATACTGAAAGCAGTAAGAGGTATTCTGTTGTTTAATAGGAGCTGGACTTCTGAAAGAAAAAAAAATCATCCTCTGAGATGAGAATTCAGTTTCCTTTCTGCATTCAGTTTCCTTTCTATATTTCCTGACTTTCTTTGTGACCGTGAGAGAGATTTTAGAGAAGTATCTGTAAGTCTAAAGAGAAGTTGAATAAGCAGAAATATCTTGTCTTGTTTTTGTTCTAGCCAGATAAATGCTTTATTATAGTGTTCTCCTATATGACACCATGGAAAAGATCTGGCAGTTTATAGCTGTTTCGATAATTGTGTACTTTGGCTTCAAATAGCATTCCATGTGGAAAATCTGCACAGCAGGTGTCAGCTCAGGATATTCAGAATTCTTACTTCCTCTCTTGCCACATCAGACACAGGAAACATTGTAAGGATTTTGTAGTTTCATGTTCCACTGGGCTGTTTTTAATTCTAATTGCTTCTGTTACACATCCAATCAATTGTTCCACAGGTTTGTTAAATTAATGAGGTTCTACAAAAATGCAGGCAGGGGAACTATGTGAACTACCTGTGATGCAGGCTTGGTAGCATCTCTCAGACCTCAAAGAGATCATGAAGGAAGTCACATTGAAAGCTACTTCCCAGCTATTTGAAGAGCAAGAAGATTGCTGAGAACAGCCCTGATTTACCAGGATAAATGATGCCTGACCAATTAATTGCTTTCTAGAATGAAATGAATGCTCTTTTGTAAAGGAATAGCCGTGAATGATGTTTACCTTGACAAGGCTTCTGACGTGATCTCCCACACCATCTTTGTAGCTAAGTTGGTGAGACATGAATTGGGTAGTTTTGAAAAATTGGACTGTTTGCTCAAAGAGACTCTTGTATGGTTTGGAATAAAACTGGCAGTTATTTATACAAGTGATCTTCTTCAGCAATCAATATCGGGGCTGATACTGTTCAACATCTTCATAGCTTTAGAGAATTATAGAATCATTTAGTTTGAGAAAGACTTGTAAGATCATCATATCCCACAGTTAAAGCAGCATACCCAAGTCCACCACTAAAACACATTCCTAAGCACTGCTTCTACATGTCTTTAAATACCCCTAGGGACAGTGACTTAACCCCTTCCCCAGGGCAGCCTGTTCCAATACATCCCTAGAGGGGCAACATGCATCCTCAGCAAGTTCATGAGTAATGCAAAACTGTGCATGTGGAAGGAAAGCAGTTAATAGGCTAGACTGGGGCAGAGCTTCCATACAGAGGGACCTCAACAAATGGGAGGAATGTGCTGGTAGAGCCCTCATAATGTTCGCAATACAAAGATAGTGTTCTGCCAAGGCAGATTAGTGCAGGCTGGGGGCCAACTGTCTAGAAAGTGATGCTGCAGAGAGACCTGGGGGGGTCCTAGTAGGCGATCATGAGTCTGCAGGAACATGTTTGGAGCAATGAAAGCCAGTTGCATACTGGGCACCATTGTCAAGTCTGTAGCCAGCAGGTCAAGTGGTGATTCCTCTCGGCTCATTATATACAAGACCCCATGTAGAGAACTGTTCAATTTAGACCTTTTCTGCAAGAGAAAGAGGAATAAACTGGAGCAGTCCAGCAGAGAGTTAAGATGGTTAGAGAATGGCAGAATAGGAAAATTGAGGCAGTGCAAGGAAAAGTTGGGAGCACTGTGGTCGTTTATGCTGGACAAAGTAAGGCTAAGGGAGAATCTAACTGCAGTCTTCCACTACCTCTAGGAGAGATAGAGGGAGAATGGAATTAGAAATGCACAGAGGAAGGGCCATGTGTAATGGATACAAGTTTCTGCATAGGAATTCAAAAACACTAGCCAAATTTCTTAGATATGATATAGTTTATGTTACAGGGAGGGGAGAGTATTTAAGTACTGAAATAGATTATATCTGGAGAGGTTGTCCATCCATCTGGAGAGTCTCCATCCTTGCAGATACTGTAATTTGTTAAGTCTTTGGGCAACCCACTTTCACTTTGGAATTTACCATGTTTTGAGGAAGAAGTTGATCTTAAGAGGTCTTTCTCAAACTGACTATTCCATAATTATCCTGCTCTTTAACAAGTCTTTACCTCTGGACATGATATCCTTCTGAAATATAGGAGAGGTATAAAATGGAGATGGGAAACAAGTGTGGGGTTTGGAAGTTATTCTGTGCACTTTCACAGAAGATGTTTTAGATCCTAGGTTAGTCCTTAGAGTCATCTGTCCTCCTGATTTCCACGGGTGTATCTATCCTTAGAAGTGTCACAGAGCTCAGGTAGTGCCTGAATAACAGCATGGTCCCACGTGGAAGCCTGAGCTGGCTTTTGGACTTCACCATATTGTCACCTTGATAATGTATAAAAGTCACTTTTTTGTTTTCCTCTGCCATTCTCTCCCTATTTAGACTGCAAACCTTTTGGCTCAGGAAGTGAATTTTAACTAGCTGTTTAGCATACAGCATGCCGAGGCCTCATATTGGGTAAGCCTCTAAATAAAACAGCATCCGAAAGTGAACAATACTGTAAAAATGCAGAATATTGTAGCTGGAATTTCTGTCTGACTCCATTGGTTGTTTAACACTGAGAGAAACTGAAAGTCCTCAGTGTTGTGCTGCTCCCAGAGAGAGACTTAAATTAGCTTGTATTATAAATGGAAGTGCTAGCAATGGTGACTGGAAACTGGGATTGAATTAGAGTAATGCGGAGTAAAGAGTCTGGAGAGCCTTGTTATAGTTAATGGGGCAAGACAGGGGAGAAGAATCTGTATTTGTTAATAAGACTCTGCTTGTATCTTGGCTCCCTCCCCTTTCCTCCTCCCAAAATAAAAATAAAACCACAGGACTTTATTTGAAACTGAAATCCTTATGTTACTTGGTGGAAGACTTTCTGTGGCTTCTGTAGTGTTAATTCCTGGAGGGTACTGTGAACCCTTGACTTCCAATTAATGTTGATATAAAGTGCTTACAGGATTTATGAGCCATAATTAACAAAAATAACTGATGTGGACTGCTGCCATAATCTGTTTAGATTATTTTGTAGCCAATTTTGCTGCCACTAGAATTGTTTCTGGCAAGGTACTGCAGCTTCCTTTGTTTCCTTTTCCAAAACAAGGAAATGGCTGATCTTGCCGTTTCCCTGCAGCTTCTTACAAAGGCAGCTGGCACAACTGTTGAAAGGAAGAGTTTAGAAAGCAGTGAATAGCTCTAGTTGTGTTGCCACCCATGAGGCCATAGCAGAGCAACCATAATACCCACTCCATGGGCAGGGGCATTGCTCCCTCATGGAAGAGCACTGTTACTACTTTCTCCTGGTCTGTGCAGCTGTGGGTGCCATCAGGACATAATGTGCTATTTCAGCAGTGTTAAATGCCTGAAGAGCCTCTCTTTGGTCCTACACAAATATCTGCCACAGCAATTTCTGACCATCGGGTAAGGGAAGTGTGAACTGTGTTTGCTGATTTCTTTACCTTTCCCAAACTGAGTCTCTGTCTGAGACAGCTCAGGATGGGCTGAAACTTTTTCAGAATTCACCCTTCTCATTAGAACAACAACAACAGCAAGGATTCTTCCCTACTGAGAGTATAAAGCTATGATTTAAATTACTGTGGAGATTATATTTCTAAAAAAAATACTATTTTTGGGTTTATATTAACTTATCCTTTGCTCAGTTTTGCTCTGATAGAACTCCTATGAACATACAACAGGTATGTTGAAACTCAGAAAGCTTTAAATTTTATTTTG